TAGGTACAAAGGATTTGGCATTTGTCTTCGTAAGTTTTTAACTGTGCACCCCTAAGCTAAACGCAGTCGTGGAGTCGTGACCTTGGCTATCGCTCAGCCGGTCCCAAGTGCAGATCATCGCACGCGCGCTGAGGCGTGACAACGCCCGATCACGCGCCCATCACAGAACATATACGTGTGGTTCCAAGAGCCAAGCGTCATTCCGACAGTTGCGATGGCTTTCAAGATTGGCTTGGTGGTGCTTGCTAGCTTGCTGTCTTCACGATTTTTGCCGTTGATACCTTGGCGACAGTATGGGAGCGGTGTGCTCTGGCCCGTGAACTATTGGACGTGTAAGTGACTGTAGGCATTGAGCTTCTTGCCGTGCCGAAAGACTTTCTGATTGGTTGCATTAAATTACATGTTATGTTGAGTGGCGAACAGAAGTAGCAAAAGCAACAAAAAAAAATGCTTACGCAGAACGTTCGTAATGGAAGCTACATTTGTTTAGGTACCATCTCCCGCGGAACCAGCTAGACTCGTGGATGTGCATTGCTTATCGCGAATCCCGCTATGACTCTCTGCACATTAACTCTAACAACGACGGTTCCAAAGACTACGGATTGTTCCAGATAAATAACCGCTATTGGTGCACCAACAACGTAAGTAACGTAACGGCACTAGACCCACCTCGGCATCAAGACCCCAGACCCTTCCAACGTCCACTAACCCCACCCAGATTTGATGTGCGGGGCGCCACAAACACAAATAACGAGGGAGCAAGGTTTTGGTTCAATGGCGTGATCCAGCGAGGATGAGATGGAAAAGGGAAGGACAGCAAAGTGATAGAAGGAAAGCAAACTATGCAGCATGATTTCCAAGCGAAGCAGATTTCGGAGGAGACAGGGTGGGGGTAGAATGTAGTTGGTAGGGTTTTCCGTGCCTCAGCTCGACCGGAAAAAGAAAAGTCATCGGGTGAGGAGCGGGGCTGCGAGGGGGAGTACCTCGCTCCTCCCCCTGCCTGCGATCTTTGTTCTTCTCCTTCTGGTCTGGCTGAGCCTCGGAGTATCCTGTTCTGAGACCTTGAAATTTAAAAATAACAGAAGACAACAAATTCATTATCATTGACTATGTTGTAACATACTTGCGTTTATTTGAACTTGTTTTCGTTGAATAAAGCATTCCGGGAAAGGTACATATCAGAAGAATGTACGGAACAAGAAAACAGAAGTCACCATGTTAAAGCATAGGATTTCCGTTTTCTTTTCCCTCGCATTTCAGCTTTAACGGAATACTTTATTGAAATCATACCTGAGCCTCCTGTACAGCTGACAAGCTTACATACTCGCTTTTTTCTGGTGCGAAATTCTTAATAGGGGGGCGATTCAAGATTTCCGTTTAAGCCGTTGCCAGCTCCTGGTGTTAAATATCTATACGTCTATTTTGCAGAGAAATTTGTAGTGGCCTACCGCAGGTATATTTTTGATATCCCCTCCCATCCGATGGCAGTGCTCAGGCTTACCTTAAGCATTTTAGTTCTTGCGAGTTGCTCTGAAGATTAACTTCAAAGTTTGAGTCCTTAGTTCAAGATCTTCTAGTGACAGCTAATAGAAATTAAGATCTTAATCACATCTGATTACAGGAATCACCAGAGCCGAACCAAAACATGTGCAATGTAGGATGTCAAACAGTACTCAACGATCTCAGCGAGACTGTAAAATGCATAAAGATCATGTATGCTAAATCCAACAACACCTGGCAACCCTGGATTACGTACCCGTACTGTCTGGAAGAGGATATGACTCAGTTCACGAAGGGTTGTGGCGTGTAACTTACGCAAGTAAACGACTGCAAACAACAGCTGAACGATCTTTCGATCACCAGCAAGCCAGGACCTCAAGACTTCAGTATTAAAATTCGCGGTCTGAAATGTCATTCCGCAGTGACTATTGAGGTCACGAACTTTTTTGACTCTTCATATGGAAACAACGCCATTAAATTTTACGACCATTTCATTTTACGACCATTTTCAGTGTATGTCATGATATTTTCATAAAATGTTAGGCAATTTAATAACATGTTAGGGAAAAACTTAGGTTACGTCCTCCGGACAGTGGAAGCATAAGAACACGTTACAGCTCAGCTACTCTGATCAGGCACTCGCAGGCCTAGCTATGTGTGCGCCAGGTGCGTCGTTGTAGTAAAGCAGTGTTTTGTAAGATATCGCGAATTCCGTTACGCGAGACGTGATCCGACGTACATATTTCTAATTAAATTCTGACTGCCCCTGTATGTGCACTGTGTATGGGACACACTGATATTGGGTTTCGGTGAATTAAATTGGCTTCTTCTCTTCATTCTTGTTGTATTCGCCCTTGTCATCACTGGTCGTTCTTCTGCTGCCGTCAGGGGCCGTTCATAAAATACCTCACACTTTCTTGGGGGATGGGTGTGGGGTGAGGGGGTGGGTCAAGACTTCTGTGACGTCATTTAGACTGACTTCGCGTACCAAAAACTATCACTTTTTTCGAAAGACGCGCGCCATTAGGTGCGCTCTGCACACTAAATTTGAAGGGCCTTTTTTGTCTCTAGAATAAAGTCGCATTTTTTGTGCACCTTACCATGTTGATATCTGCAGATGAAATTTTAAGTCTTACCAGTGAGAAATTTGCAGTATTTAACTTGTATAGGGTGGAAAGATTTACAGTTTGAAATACACTTGTGGACTGCAGATGAACTTTTGCTAAATCCTTAGTGTGAGCAGAGTATTTGTACTGAAGTAATGTTGGTATTTTACAAACACAAATATAATTTGCAAGTACAATAAAAGTGCATACAAACTGCATGTGGCATCATGCAGTTTAAGTGTAGTAATTTAATAGAAAACTATAGTTAAATGACAGTCAACTGCAGTTTCACTGCAGTCAATCTAAAAAAAATGTGTAAAGATTTGGAACACTCCTCACTTTAACTGCAGTTTTCGCGCACTCTATGTACAGATGTAAATACAGTTCGATCTACAAGTTGTCTATGGTTCGGACTATAATTAAACTTAAGTGTCAAATGATTCTAAATCATAGTGTTAAAAACATCTTTTTCCCTCTCTGGGTCTTTCTTTCTCCCACCTATTCAGTTATTTACCTCATATTATATCATTCAGTTATTACCTCATAGTTATTACA